CATTGTTTATTCAGTGTAATAAATGAATGATAAATAAACAATCATCATTGATCGTTGTACATTTCTTTGTGGTCATTTTGCATTTCTATGTGGTCATAGAATAGTGTCTCTTTGGGGCGTTTTGCATCTCAGTAGGGTTTTTTACATCTCTTTGTGATAATTTCTGCATGTTTTTGTGGTTGTTTTGCATCTCCCTGTGGACATTTTGTGTAACTTTGTAGTTGTTGTGCATGTCTTTGTGGTCATTTTGCACATCTTCGTGGTTGTGGTTTTTTGAGTCGCCCTGCGCAGTCATTTTTTTGCACCTCCTTGTGATTTTTTGAGAGTCTGGTCCAGGGGCCCTGGGTCTGCAATTCATCCAAGATGCTAACAAACTTGCTATTAAATTAAACTGGCCTACCCCCAAGCTTTCGTTGGATTCAAAGCAGTCCATGTACGTAGCTCCTCTGATGCTCCAAGCCGACAGGAACTTGAACAAGTTGATCTTCACCGGCTGCTCCACAAACACAAAGTAGTTGTCCGTCATGCCGAAACTACAGACAGACAAGCAGAGAGACAGACACGTACGGATACGTAAGCAGCAGTAACAACTCTTTGAGCGGTCACAGACACAAACTGAGGTTTTTTGGCTGGTTTGGGAGAGTTTCATCAAACAGTTACAGATGCAAAGTATGTTGAATTCATTGTATCGTGCATTCATTGTGAGAAATGGAAGAACTGACTGGGTACCTGTGTATATAGGAGGGTTTTAACCTCTCACTGCTGGGTAGTTGAACCACAACCTCGGATTTCTCAAGACGATCTGACTTGTCTGGAAACATAGAGACAGTGTGTGCATCAACATTAGAAGGTGTGTGCATGTGATTAAGTCAAATAAACTCAGTTCCTTCAGTTAAAAACGAAATTCAGTGGAACAAACTCACCTTTCTGAGCAGGTGGGATCTTGACGATATTATATGCCAGACTCATATTTTTGCCAAAGCAGTTGCCAATATTATAGATTGTGCCATCTGCGTCAGTGTGGGGGTGGGCAGTTACCCCATTCACTGAGAGGTACTTACACAGGTCCACCTAATATAAATAAATGCAGCACACAAGACAGAGAAAGAGCTGCATCAAGAAACTCATTCATTATCAGTGTAATACCGCCTGCATGTCCAAAGAGCTAGCATGATGTAAACCAATCAGCTCTCACCTTCTTTAAAGTCTCCAGAGAATCAGGATCAACTTTAGTGATGTAATTGGTCTCTGTGACAGCGTAGAAGTCTTCACCGACTGGATAGATGTTCACTAAGCAGTTATCAGTCACCTCAATGCCTCTAAAGTAAGTAAAGAATCTGCACAGAAACAAGACTGGAGGTCAATCAACAGTTTAATATAGCATTTACATTATTATAATACTGTGGGACATGGGATGTTATTACGTATACATAACACCACATGTATAGTATTCATACAGAGCGTGCAGAAATCCCGAATACGTCAGTAAACTGACACACACTGTGATTAAAACTCTCTGGAGTCTAAGGCCTACCACTTTTGAGGTAGTTTTTACACATTTTTTATAAAAATATCACCAGTCCAAAGAACACTGACTCCCTAAGTGCTACATATTCTTATATTCAGCACAAACTCAACACCAACAACCTGATCTGAGAGAAGTAAGAATGTCATTAATCTTTTTTTTGTTTAAACCAACTGTAAACATACATTTTTAAAAAACCTATTTTTAAAAAAACACATTATAAACATTTCTTGACATAAACCTGGAGCTATAAACCTTGTAAACATAGATGTTGGCAACAACTAGGTGATTAAATCATTCAGAAATATTATGAGGTTTGACAACATTAGTGCGAGAGTGGGAGTGATTATTTACACACCTATGATATTTGACCGATTGAACCTCAGCTGTAAACTTCAGTGTTGTTGAAAAAGGTCAAGGATTGGGGGTTACCTGGAGAAGATGTTTTTGCAGGGGTCTGGGTAGGCTGCTGTTCCAAACTCTGTGATGACTACTCTGTTCTCCGTCATGGCACGAACGTATGCATCCGTCCTGATGAACCTGAGCAGAGAGATTATACATATCATGTGCCAAAGAACCATAAAGTCAAAAGATATTTATCGTCTATTAACAGTAAAGACTGCATCTTATAGTGTCTGAATTTGCTCCTCTCTCCCTGCAGCCTAGCACTGAGACAGCATTACTAAGAGTGTCAAATGACATCCTTATGCATGCAAACAAAGGTAAACATTTATTTTTTATGCTACTCAATTTATCTGCTGAGTTAAGGTTGCATAACTAGGTTGGCATTTCTGGTGAAGCTTTAAACTGGTTTTCTTCCTATTTCACAAATAGATACTGTAATGTTTGTATCAATAATCATGTGTCCTCCTCTGCTCCCTTGATGTGTGGTGTCCCTCAGGGGTCAGTTCTTGATCCAATTCTCTTCTTATTGTACATGTCCTCTGGGTCATTTGGTTCAGCCCCTTTGTAAACGTCTCATATCAGTGTTGTGCCGATGATACACAGATCTATTTCTCTGCAAAACACAATAACCTGAATCAACCACCCTCTATGACTGCTTAGCCAGCACCAAAGATTAGCTGTCTCTCAATTCCATCCACTGAAATCCTGACAAAACAAAACTTATTTTAATTGGACCTGATCTGAACATTCAAATATCAAACCTACCTACAAATCTTGGAATAACCTTTGACCAATATATGACTTTTGACCATCATGTTACTGAGCTTGTCCAGTACTGTTTTCTTCAACCAAAAAAAAAATCATTAAATCAGATGTTTCTTGTCTTCCACAAATCTCAAACTATTACTTCACACTTTTATTTTCTCCTGTTTAGATTATAGTATAGCTGCGTGATCTTTCACCCAGTTACATTTCTGCTCCTTCGTTCCTCATTCCACTCCTCAACCGCTTCAATCCTCAAATCTTAGCGTTTTATTCATCTCCACTCCAAACAAAAAGGTGACCGCGCTTTTGCTATTTTAGTCACAACCCTCTGGAATCATCTTTCCCAGTTTTTAGTTCCTTAAAACCCATCTCAATAGGCTAAAGGATAGAGCTCCTTCCCTGTCTTTGATTTTGTGCGTTTTTGTTTGGTTGTGCGGTGTTTCATTTTGTAATTTACAAATTTAGAATATACTTTTTTTATTTCTTGTTTTACTTATTTTCATGTGTGTGAAACACTTTGCAGCTCAGTGTTTTAAGAAGTGCTGTATATACAAAAACTTTACTCACTCAAACTGTCAGTGCTTTTTAGATTTTCATGAAACACATTACTGACTCTGCCCAACAGACAAAACTTCTTCTCAAAATGAGTTGGAAGAATGATTTTTGTGGTCTGTGTTTTTGTGTTGTTTTTCTCTCTTCTCTTGCAACATTCCGGTTTGGATGAATTTACAGTCAACTCTTTTCCTCAGCTGCACAGAACTGCATTCCTCTCTGCACTAACAAAAATCAGATGTCATAAAAATCTGCAACAGGATTTGGATTTGGATCACAAGTGATAAACAATGGAGTGCGTGTGTCAGATTTGTGAATTTATGTTCAAAAATGTCCAGCAACGTTAAGACAACATTTCTGGACCCACTGCTAGCATCACATCCATCTTAAAAACTATTTCTAAAGAAAACACAAGAAAAAATACATTTCAAAACAGCAGGGCTTCATAGAAAGAGAAAAGACAGATAAGAAAACATGTAAAAAAAAACACACATGAAAACTGGTAATCTCCCAAATTCCAAATGTGTGATTTACGACCTGCTCTGATTTTGTAAGGTAATGAAGATTCTTACTTCCTGTAGTAGGTCACCTGACTGTCCTTTAGGTCAAACTTGTGCATGAGAGCCTGTCCATCAAACAGGTGGTGGAAGGGTTCATCTCCGATCTCGAAAAGACCTGGACCCATCCTGAGAAGACTGCCACCCAGCCATGACGGTATAACACCTGCAAACACACACAAACAACCACGTGCTATTGTTCAGTCTTATTGTTTCTATGCACATGACTATGAGATGAGATGAGACGACACATTAATTAGTGAGCTTTAGAGATACTAGTCTGCAGATTATTTTCTTTCACAAATTCTGTGACCCATCCGATTCTGTGATCAAAATACTGTAGAATTTTAGTTGTTTTGCCATTTCATATAAACATTCTTTCATACTTTGTATCATAATTTCTTACAATAGGTGTTACCAAAAATGTCCGCTAGAGTATTATGTTAACAAATTTCTATAGGTGTTTGATAGCAGAATTTGTGACCCTATAATTCAGATGTTAGTTTCACAAAGGGTCACAAATTCTAATAGCTAGAATAACAACAACTGTAGGTCTGTCTGTCAAGCTCCAACACCTCATCTGACAATATATGGTACCACAATGTTTGGAAACAGCTTCACATACTGGAAACAGTATGAAACGTTTCTAGTAGCTGAAAATCCTTGTCACAGCATATGGTGTGACACCGGATGTAGCCTTATATTTGGCAGACATGGGAGTGATATTGATCTTCTCAAGTCTTAGTTTGTAAGAGAATAACTGTATATCCCATAATTTAAATGACTCCTTTAAGAAAATCTGTCAGCCTATGTGGAAGTTTAAACCTGATAGTCTACGGTGGATCATTGCAATATTAGTTTACAGTAGAGGTACACTGTTGTCAAAAAAAATTTTTTTTGTCAAAAAATAATGAATAGGCTGCTTCTATAGTTAGTTCCTACCACTACTATAATAGTTCCTACCAGTGATCTTAGCAGGTATAGGTTCATTCAGCTCCTCCACTGTCTCAAAGATCTTCTTGTAGCCTCCAGCAGGATGTTCCACACTGGAGAGGAAAATAAAACACTGAATTTAAAGAACAACTCAATAACACGACCAAGTCAGAAAAAAGTTTTAAAAGACTTGGTTTCTTTTGTGTTGTATGAACACAATTTTTCAATTCAGTTTTATTTGCATAGCGCCAGAAGTTATCTCAGGACACTTTTCATATAGAGCAGGTCTAGACTCCTTACACAATTCAAACTCCATCTGCTGAGGAAGACGGTGTGATACCATCAAAAGCTCCAGAATGTATTTGTCACTATGTGTTTGCATGAACTCCAAGATCGATGTTTGTTCAAACCAAACTTCTAAAACAATACAGGAAACAAAAGCTACAGGACTTAGCATCCACTAAAGCTGACCCTTATTTTGACATCAAATGTGAAAACTACAGCAAACAGCACAGCTTGTCTGCATCTGCTTTGATTGGTAACAAAAACCAAGGAGTTCAAAGACAGCAGCTTTTCTGTTATTTAGTCTGACATTTGTTTTTGCTGCAGATTCTAGTTTTAGCAGGTATTTCACTGCTGCAGCAATACATTTTCTCTTTAATCTCATGTTGAGAGTTTTGTTTTTACCCTCTTTACAGAAAAAAAGGCTTTGGTGGAAAACTGCATAGTTGACTCACCATCAGATCTTTTTCTCTTTCAAGGAAAACAACAAACGTCACTGAGTGACGTCTACACACTGCTTTCACTTCTTCATTACTGAGAAACCAAAATATGAACCTTGAAAGGTCTTTTTAAAAGTTTAGTCTTTAAGTTTTTGTGTTTTCAAACCTGAAAACTAAGAGAAAAGAAAGGGAAAGTTTTACTCACTGGCTGACCATGCTGCCGTATGTTCATCAAGCAGCCTGTGAAAAGAGAGTCCGGCTTGCATTTAAACCACACAGATTTCCTGTGGTGAGGGATGGAAAATGGGCCCCCTTCTGCCTTTTCTCTCATTCGCCTCCTTCTCTCATTTTCTCCTCCCCCATTCCCTCCTTTCCTCTGCATGTCCCTCTCCTCCTCTACTCTCCTCCCCTGTTTTCCTTTTAAGCCTGTTTCTCCCCTGTCCCCTGCTTTGCCTTTTCTTCCTCCTCCTCCTCCTCCTTCCCTGCTCTTAGCTGAACAAGCCATCTTTGTCTCCTCTCCTTTCAGCCGTCTGGCCCTCAGCTCCATGCAGAATGTTCCATGGGCCCCCGCAACAAGGTCTCTGGGAACACAAACACTCACTCACCTACCAATGATGTGGGTCAAACTAGTAAAGTCAGCTTTTAAAAGCGGTGTGTTGGTTTTGTTGTTTGTACATGGATATGCGTGTTGAAAGAATCCTGTCTAATTAGTTCCAGACAGCCTTTACAGACACTCAGAAACTATTTTAATTGGCTAGCCCCGGAGGGGGAGGGAGAGCAACAGAAAAAAAGAGGGAATGATTAACCATGAATACTTTTTTTTTTGGTCTTCTGTCATTTTGATAAATGAAAGTTGACTGCTGAATAGGAAGATGAAAGGGTGGATTCTAATGAATGGTTGCGTGATAAGGGTTGAAATGTGCAGTAATCTGTCCGTTCCTGCCGAGTGAAGAAGTGAAGTTATGCTTGTCTTTGAGTGTTTGTTGTTTTCAGCCGTGCTCATGGCTCCAGAGATGGCGATGTCAGTCTGACAGTCCACCACTACTCACCACTGGTCCAGACTGAAACATCTGAATAACTGTTGATAGATTTCCACTGACCTTTGAACAAACATTTACGTCCCCCTCTGGATGAATTGTTCTAACTTTGGTGACGCCTTAAAGGACCGGTATCTACGATCTTGTGGGGAATTTGCAGATTGCAACCATTTGAGTACAGTTTAGTTTTCCAAACGTGTAGGAGAAAATACGGTAGCCACAAAGCTCGTGAAAATGCTAAAGCCCCTATCTCTGTTGGGTTGACCTATTCTGGGCTACTGTAGAATCGTGGTGGTTCAAGATGGCGGAAGAACCCGGTCCCTCTTTAGATAAAAGTAAGAGTAGAAGTAAGTAAAAATAACACGATGGAATTGAATCAATGAAACCAAACTGTTGATTGAACATTTCATTCTGCAGACCTACTTTCTGGTTCAATTTTGACGTACTAAAGCCACTGGATTTGAATTCAATCCCATTATAGTATTAGTGTTATACTAAGGGTGGAAGGAATGTAGTTTTTATTGTCTGTTTAGGGGCCAGTCTAGTATACCTAGCATAAGGCTGCAACTAATGACATATTTCTGTTAGAAAATGGTGAAACAAAAAGTTTCCCAAAGCCCAAGCTGACATCCACACCTCAGTTATTCAGTTTACTGTCATAATTACTGAATACACCAGAAAATAAACACATTTGAAAAGCTGAAATACAATGAATTAATTACCAAAACAGTTTTAATTTGATAGCAGACAGCTGATCGATTAATCAACTAACGATTAATTCATTTCACACACGCACGCACACAAAACTGCAAACATAAAACAGGACAAAAGCATATAAATAGAACAGCTGAACAGGTTTATTTTCCAGGACTTTGCATAGTAAACGATGTAGAGGAAGAATACAACTGTGTAGATACATACTCCTCTGTAAAAGTCTGCTGATGAGTGCATATATATGGTTAGACATTCACACACATACACACACATCTGATCTGAGGTATAGACAAACATATCAGGGTAGAACTAATACTTCATACAAGATAAATACAAAAAAAAGAGGACAGCTTGAACTTTTGAGCCAAGCGTGGTACATTTCCTCCGACACTTGACATTATATGAGTTCTGTATTGCACCTCAGTTGACTAAATACCTGTTAGCATCCATCACTGGCAATTAACGCAAGCCATCCGAGACCAGCTACTGTCATAACAATAGGTACAGACAATAGCCACTTCACTGCTTTTAAACGATTAACGCATTAGTTGCTGAGCAAACACTTTGAGGTTTTTATTTATAAGCAGTAGCAACCGTTTACCCAGTATATGACAAGTGTCAGGTGAAACCTTCTTTAAGGAGTCTAATACGCATTAAATATGTATAAATTAACCATTCTTATGATTGACATGACTTATCCCAATGCCTAAATCCAGTGCAAAACGTTTCACTAGCCAATAAACTAAGAAGGGATGAGTTAGGGATAAGACACACAAAGAATGAACAAAAAGAACTGGGAAAGGTGAGCTCTATTTAAAATAACTGAGATGTACATGAAATAGCTGAGATCCTCGAAAACTGAAAGATCCAATAAGAGAAAACCTAAAACTTCACTGTAAAATGCTTTAAAAACACACCACACAAGAAACATGAAGACTAAAGAGCATTTCAAATAAAACTTGAGATTCAATGATGCGAAAAGTCAATAAAAACAGTTAACGTGACAAGAAACGTGTCAAACAAAGACGTCTCTACCACGGCTCCCAATATTATCGTTCATATAAATTAAGAAATCTATCATCTAATTATTGCCGTACCAGTGATGTCAGAATTGCCTTTTTTTTTCTCCCAAAATGCACTCTGAAGCACACACGCACACACACACACACACACACGTTCAGGTCAGTATCAGCTAGCAATAGAGATGACAAGTGAGAGGGGAAATAAAAAAGGGTTTTGAGAGAAAAGTTTGCTGATCCAAATGAACACAGATACTAAAAAAAAAAAACCCTGTTATATTAAAACACATTAACTAATGAACTGCTCTAAGAAACCACTGTCTGCCTGCCTTCATCTTACTCAGCTGTCAACACGTACCACAAACACATACACACATCATTGTAGAAGTCATCCAGCCTGCATTACCTCTGATATTAGCACAGGAATACGACACAACAGGAACAACAGTATTTTGAATGTAACAACAAAAAGTTAATGGCTGCAAAGAGAAGTCTCTTAGTATCAGTGCAGTAAAAGTGCAGCAAAAACAATGTAAATACTGGCTTCTATGACGGTGACACCTGTATGGTTAGTTTAGTTCCTGATGCTGAAAGCTTTGGTCTTCTTAATGTTGAGGAGGGGAGGTTTAATCTTTGGCTTGTTGTTTTCCCGGTCTGAGGAGGGAAACCGACGGCGGTAGATGTCTGGATACTGCTTCTGAAACTAAAACCAAAAGACAATAAAACTCATTATTGAGTGACTGACTTTCCATGTCCACACAGCCATCAGAGTACACATACTATTTATTCCATCATCTACTCATATGTCCGAGAGGATCTGTTGGACTGTCTTCACTGACATCCATCTATGCAGGCAGTGTGGCAACCATCAGTTTAAAGTATATCAGTGCCTTTAAGAGTAACTTAACGCCAGGCTGAACAGTAGTGTTTCACTGCCCTCTGCTCACCTCTAACAGCCAATAGTGATGTCTGCAACTTTACTGCTAGATGCCACTAAATCCTGCACATTGGTCCCTTAAGTTACTCTTTATGTCCTAGTTGAAACTAATGATTGCTGAAATCGAAGGCTAGTAAAAACCGCTGCAAAATGTTACAAATAACAAACCTTTTTCACAGCAGCCATTTTGACAGTAAATAGTCAGGTCAAACAGAGTCAGCAATATGCTACTGTGCATATTGGCTCACTGGAAAAAAGGCTCTGCTGCTACACTAACTGGACCTTAATTACTGTCATATGTTTGGCCATTTTCAACTCACAAAATGATTTTCATACATTTGGTGAGAATGTCAACACCAGCATTGATGGGTTTAATCACAGCAGTCGTATTATTTTGTTTACAGCAAAATATATATATATTTTTTAAATGTAATAACTCAAATCAAAGATGTTTATGTAATGTGTTCATGTTAAAGAACCAAACACTGGCTGATTGGATAAGGTGCTGCCTGTAACTTCATGCTTATGATAAAGAAGCTTCAGGTATATATATAGTGAAAATACATATTTCTGACTGAGCATTTGAGGAGTGTTTTGTTACCTGCTTCAGTTTCTTGCGTCTGTCCTTCTCACTTATGTTTTGGTCTGTCAGCAACATCTCCAGCAGCTCCTCCATGGCCTTCTGGGAAGATTCCAGCTTTTGCTGTTCAAACTCAGCGCCACTAATCTGATGGCAGAATGTGTAGATGGGCATTGGAGCGCAAACTGGATCGCCGCCATCCACATTAGAAACACCGTCGACTGGAACCTGTGGTCAGGAGAACATCTGTATGTCTGTGTGGATTTACTGCATGTCCAAAAGCTGACAAATTACATGGTCTGCTATATTTTCAAATACATTTTTACACATTTTGTAATACATAGATTTATAAAAACAAACTCAGTCTAATTTAACATCAAATTTTCATAATAATTATACTGTGTATTTGCAACACTACAACATATTATACTTCTACATGAGATATCTGTGTATGTGATTTCTATTTGTCCATATGAACTCAGGATGCATATTCTGTAACAGTCTACGGATGTACCTGTACTGTACGCAGATACTGTACACGGTCGCTGATAGCACTGAGCAGGTACTCCGGGACAGAGAGGATGCTTTCTTGATGGTCCATTAGAAAGGACACCAGTCTGGTGGCTAACAGCTCGTCCAAATCACATTCCACGGCGCTGCCCAGAATGCAACCTGAAAACGTGTGAACCATCTGGAAGGAGGACCACAAAAAACAGATAAAGACAAGCAGTCAAAACGGCCATTAAAGACGCACACGTTAATGTATTTAAAGAAAACCAGCTGAGCACAGTAAGATATCTAGATCACCGCGTGACTTTTGTTCCTCACCAGTGTTCGGGTGCTGATGGCCGGGTGGAGGCGGGGCATGTCCACGTTCTGGCTGATGCGTGACATCATCCTCATGAGGAGCTGCAGCTTCCTGCGGGAGGCGGGGGGGAGGAGGAGGGTACAGAGCTGCAGGGCCTCAATGGCTACACGCTCACACTGAGGCTGGAGAAGGCCTGACACACACACACACATACACACAGAGTTATACTCAGTAGTGATGATGATGATGATGATGATGGAGATGGGTGAATTCTGCAGTACAATCAGTACAGAAACAAACAGTGGAATCACTCTTCATGGCCACATTCATCCATCTCTGCTACATCACATTCACTGGATTAGACAAAAAAATGGATGAATGGATTGATGGATGACAAGATTAATCAACTACAGTGGAAGATGAGTCAGGTGAGATATATGAACACGACATTTAATGTACTGTAATATGCAATGAAAAGCATGTGCGTCCCGGTTCATAACCCTGATATCTCCTGGAATTTGTGATGGAAGAATGTTGAAAATACAAACTTGCTCGAGGGTACGAAATGTTCTTTCCGACCTCCTAGGCAGGTGTCCTTCCTCGCTTACCGTATTGCTGCTCCACAGTGCGACTGGTGGCTTTGTATTGTCCTTAATGAAAAAGACCCTTCTCCATCAGACTAAATTGTGCTTTTTGCTACCGTACGTTGTTTTTTTCCATATCTGTAAGTTGCTTGGAAGAATTCCTACCCTCCATGAGTTTGTATTTTCAACGTTCTTCTTGTGACAAATTCTAAGTGGATCTATGACTGAAATGTTCCAGGAGATATCCATGCAGATATCTATGGTGGTGGACCCGGGCCGCCTGGTTCATTGCCTTTATTTACAGCACTATACTAACATCTTGTGAGTATCTGTCTCTGTAAGGTCGAATACATTTGCTTTTAACTATCATGCGTTCGCATGATGGCTGCCTCGTGTATCCTGTGTCCTTTTGGACAGGTGCATGTGCACATCTTCGGAAATGAATGCAACGTGTGGCTAAAAGGAACATGTATCTCTGGCTTACGAATGATCTAATGGTTTCTAAAGTCTCAGGTTCCCTTAACGCCTCTTTCAACACATTTCCCCCCCTTATATTTTGACCCCCTTTTACTTGGCAAATAGGAGACAGGTTCATTTTAGAGAATATTTCACTTAAAATGAAAGAAAACGTGCCAAAAAACATTGCAAAAATCAAAGGAAGCAGACAGAAAATCAAAACAGAGCATGACAAAAGCAAGCAACTTAAAATGTGCTTTATACCTTAAACTACAATCGACAAGTACAATCTATCAGTACTTTCTTTCATTCCTTTGTCCTGCCAACGTGTTTACTAGAGCCTTCGAAATGTTAAATAACACACACCACCAAAAAGTGAAACTTCACCCTTCGAGGTCAATAGGAGTTTGCCATACCAGTAGTGGTTAGAAAGTTAGATGGGAGTTAGTTTGATTACACATTGACAGACAAGCAGACACACAGACAGATAGATACAGGGGAGAGGGTCTTACTGTGCTCAGGTTTAGGTTGGGGGGGCTTGGTGCTGCTGGTAGGCACACAGACAGGCGGTTTGAACAGGCAAATAGGTCGAGACTGCCTCGACACATCCAGAGAGCTGAGGCAGCGCCGGAGAGCAGCGGGTGCAGGGTGAGTCCAAAGATTAGAGGTACTGGAGGCGGGTCGGGGCCTGCTAGGTCCTGTGGTAGCGTGAGGCCCTTGTACTTTGGCCATAGCAGATGAAGAAAAGGAGGCGAAAGGATGATAGGAGGAAGAGGAGAGATGATAAGAGGACAGCGAGGGAGGCCGTGAAGCTGAGGAGGAGTGATGCTGTTCCGCAGGAGTGTTTACATTCAGGCAGCTGGTTGCCCGGCCCTGCCATTTGCTCTCCTTGACATCTTCCTCCTGGGTTTCTATGACGATGTCCAGGCAGCTGCCTACACTGCGTGGCCGAAAGGGGCGCGACCTTTGTGCGATTGACAGTCCCGCTACAGAAACTACAGACTGCCTATTTCTGGGTGCGCCTCCTGTAGTATTTTCAGAAGCAGCGGGGGTTGCTTTGGATACAGATGTGAAGTCTGTATGACTGTGGAGTGTTGCGGCGTCAGGGCTGTCATCCTGGCTCCGAGTGCTATAGGCACAGGAAGCCAGGCTGTCATTGGACAGAAAGAGCTGTTGCCGAGTGAGAGGGGCAGAGTCATCTAGGATAGTTTCCAGTGAGCAACTCCTGGTTTGAGGTCTCGTTGAACCAACTGTACTCAGGCTCATGCAGCTGCCTCCTAACTGACCGTCACCTGCACTGGCAATTTCTCCTTTCAGCGCAGCCAGCCGCGACTGAAGCTTCCCACCAAGCACCTCTGTCATCGGCGAGTCCGTCTCGTCACATGTCCCCTGTCTGAGCAGCGACAGGAGGAGACACTCCGTGGAGCGGAAAGAGGTCTTGGCTGGAGGGGGGGCTGAGGGGAGGTCAGGCTTCTTGCGTTTCCCACGTTGGTGTATCGTGGGCGCCGCAACATACCCACAAAACACTGAGAGCAGATGCAGAGACAGAGTGAGTCAAGAGGTGCAGGCAGGGAGTCAGTGCAAGCAGACAGTGAAGGGGAGGGAGAGGGTTTAGTTACTTCAAATCTTTGGTCAGAGACAACACATAACAGGCATACACAGAGTACAGCTGCTCACATTGCTGTTAGGACTCCACAAACAGAAGTGACAACAACCGAAACCTCTGTTAGCAGTCAAAGGGCACTGTTAGAGGTCAAAGCACGCAACCACATAGTGGAGACAGCACGTCAACATGGCTAAGCAACAAACGCTGCAGACAATCCTGTCAGCTTCTGCATCATTTTCTAGTCACACTAGAAGTAAGCCTCTTAAAAGCGCTTCCATTTAACTGCTGTTTCATGGTCAGGAGTGACGGGTAACAGCCTGATGAAGTTAGTCCACAATACCTACCCAGCACGTTGATAAATAGTTCATACAGTTCGTATGTGAGTAATGGCTGCGGAAGGCTGTAGAAGTAGTCAGACACCGTTTTGAAGACATCTCTTTCAAAGCCGGGGTAGGACGGCTGTGCGCTGTCATACTTCGGCCCTGGAAATAAACAGCAAGTTACTGCAGCCATCGTGGGAGGGAAGGATATTTTAACAGTTCTACTTCTCAAATTACATTCAGAATCCCAGCACAAACCTATGTGTGCGTTTTAATTCATTACATAATATAAATAGATAAATAGTTTATTTTACTGAAGGTTGCACATGCTCGTTACTACTCACAGTTGGCCAGGCTCTTCATGGCAGACAAAACCCAGTGTGGAAGGTCATCTAGAGAGAAGATAAACAAAGTTAGGCTTCTTGCCAGTTATAGTTTATTGTACTGTTGGTGGGTTGTATCACCTAAAAAAGGAGTCCTAATAATTTCAGTCGTGTGGTCAAATACAGTTTTTTTTAAAGTGAGCAGTATACATCCAAGTATGAATTGAAGGATGTGTTCAATTAGAGAGCCGAAGACACATTTTAATAGCATGTATTAGGATTTTTGTGCTTGCTTTTGATGTAGAAGTTTTCCATTGATATATAAACCTACTGGTCTTGTCGTCCAGTGTGACCACTCCATGCTTGTTGACTTTGGTCATGTTATGGATGATGTTTTGTGGGTTTAAATAACGGTGGTCTAAAACCTCATCAAGAGACGCAACGCCCAGAATCCTCTGCAGGCTGAAACACAAAAACACACGGTTTAGTTACATAATAAAACAGTCTACCTCACTATCTGCGTTGTGGACTTTAACCGTTGCTTAGGTCTCATGCATCAGGTTCTTACTTATTTTGCAGGCTATTTAAATTAAATAAAACATTACAACATTTGTAATTTCAGTCCAATGACAACATAATGAACCATGCTGCAGATGTCTGTAACACAACAAAGTAATGGCTTTTTTCAGTTCAGTGTGTCAGTACTGGGTGAGGGTGATGTCTCTCCAGATCTCCTGTTCATCCTCCACTGTCAGCTCTCGTCTCTGCACCTGCGGCTCTCCCACTGACTGATTCTCTCCCTCTGCTTGGAGGGCAGGATCTACATTTTCCTGGAAGGCATAAAAACAGAGCATGAACCAACAACACACATTAGATTTTAGCATTTTAGTACAAACCTGTGACTGTAAACTGGGTTTTTGCCATGAAAGTGGCTGAAATTGTGCATAACATAGACAATATAGACAATATAGCCTATATCCAGTCCAGCTCACCTGTGACTCTTTCTCATTCTTTTTGATGCTCCTAAACCTGAAGAAACCTTCTTTGTCCCTGAATGAAGGCCTTTTCTTAATGGAGCCCGGGGCCGAGGCTGAAGCTGGACAGGGAATGGGCTTCAGAGGAGAAGTAGACGGGAATCTGGGGAAAAGAGGAGGACATGGAAATTACATGGACCTAATTTTCTGCAAGGGGGGAGTACAATCAACATCAATCTTTACATATATTTTACAGCATCTTTTCAAAGAATTAAAAATAAAAATGCATAAAACGATTTCTCCAGAACTCTGCCTACCTGTACAGCATGTTGTTGTCCTCCAGATCCTCCGTGCCAAAGCGACTCTTCACATCTTCGATCACGTGGTTCTTCAGAAACTTCTTCAGGAGCTGCACCGTCTGCTGCCTGGTCACTTCGGGGCCAAAATTGCTGTTGTTCCGTAGCAGCTGGTGAAGCCAATCCACAGCTGCAGAGGCCGTGAAGCAGGAGGAGTAATGTCGGAAGTTCTGGCGGTGTTTCCTGAGGGGCATACCCGCCCGAAACAAGCGAGTCACCTCATTCCACTGAAAGAGGACAAAGAGACGTTTCGTTTAGTACAGTACAACTTATAACCAAAGAATTTTCACTTTGTGTTGATTCTGGTGGCCCCTGTGGACAATGCCGTAGTGTTTTGGTCTCTGTTCGTTTAGGACATATAGAGGCATCAGTATTAAACTGAGACTGTGGTTCCTGTAGCAGCATGGACCTGAGCATCACTGGAGAAAGAGGGATGACTCCAATTCATTGATTAGTGTTCATAAAGAGTAAAAACTCCAGCAACAGTACACATTCATTGTGAGAGCAACAGTTTGGGCCTGTGACCGTCCCCAGGGTCATCCCAGAGCCACAGGTCAAAGATCATTGTAAAGTTTGTCTTTGTACTACAAGGGCTGCTATTTCCCACCTCCATGCAACTTGGAAGTACATGAATTTGAATAGCTGAGCTGTGAACCTTACGTCAGAGTCCCACCACCCCCAAACTGGGGCATTGTGAGAGGCTTTTTGAACTATCTTCTGACATTTTACAGATTAAAAGATGGCTAAAATATAAACCTGGCTGACAATGAAAAGAAGACATATCTACCCCGTTAATGTCTCGTCACCCCTGCTTTAGTTCACACACTGTCCAGCAGCTAGATGTCTGGCTTTAGTTGGTTCAGGGTGAAGTTGTGTCAAAATAGGTCAAGTTAGACTATCATTTTTTTTTTTTATTTTAGAGAGAGAGAGGGATAGAAAAAGAGGGTAATTGAAAATCACTGACAAGGCGTTGGACTAGGATTTGATAAGTTAATTTTAATAGATAAAATTAAGACATTAAATTGATTAGTTGACTGCAGGAAAAGGATAACATACAATACTATCGTGTATCATAGAAATAAAACACTGGTGAATTTCCATTCTGGTGATAATTGTGAATATCCTCACATGGCTTGGCTTGAAAAAGCAGTGTAGCTCACCAGCATACAGCCCTTTACTGATTTCCTGATGCATTTTGAACAAGGGGACAACAGGGAAGCACATATTTCCAGATACAAAGGTTACTAAATGGTAGAGATTCAGAATAATACAGATACAGAACAGAGACGAGGGGGTGCAGTAAATGTATATGTTTCTTTACTAAATATAAGAAGTTACCATGAGTTATACTTTCATGATGATCGTGATAGTAACTTTCGAAACTTCATGTCCTCAAAGACAGTTAAGGTAACGTTAATATTGTTGGGTTTGGGACTGTTGGTTGGACAGAAACATGTTATAGATCCACAATATTAATCGATTAGCAGAGATAAGAACTGGTACGATAGTAAAAACAATTGTAAAGTTTCTAAAACATTTTAAACGGTGAGGAAAAGCCACAGAGAGAACAACGTATCTGGATTAACGTAAAGTAGGAAGAGCTCATAAAAGTCGGTGTTAAATCAATGATAAATGCCTTTTAATCACTGAACCATCGATATTATCTTTTACACAACTTTACTAACGCGAACTTAACGACCTGATCAGCAGCCGACGTTAACTCACCAGTTTCGTGGCTCGGTACGGCCCAGGGGTGATCACATGAGCACTCATATTCATCCGAAAAAAGACGACGCTAAAAGTTTTCACTTCATCGGCTGCGACAGGAGGCGAAAGATATCCATAACTCGGGATGGAGGGAGGGGAAAGGATTGAGGGATGTTTTGCCACCAGCTTTGTGAATGGCAGCGGTGACGAGTCTCTGCCTGGCTGCTGCTCTCCTGTTCAAAATTACGAGCCGCGTCGTTCTGGCAGCTGATTGGACGGCGCGCGGGTCACGTGTTCAGCCTCGATCTGAGGAGGGAGGAGAAAACAAAACAAACCTGAGGGAAGCTGAAATTAAACTTCAGTAAAAAAGGATTTACTGCGTCAACGTGTGTGCTGTAGTGGGGGGAAATGCATTCAGGAATAAGGTTGTGCGAACACGAAGCAAACTGTATTCTGTTGTGTTATTTCAGGTTTAATTTTGACGGGCTTACAGTGTGATATTTTATTGTTCATGTGTGTTAATCCTCATGCATTCTCACTCTGGTT